TGGCATGGGCCTCAGGCTGCTTCTACTCATGGCAGAAAGTGGCAGGCAGCCGGTGGGTACAAGCAGATCACATGGTGAGAGAGGAAGCAAGAGAGAGAGAGAAGGTGCCAGGGTCTTTTTAAGCAATGAGCTCTCATGGGAACTAATAGAGTGAGAACTCACTCATTAATCCCCCTCCCCCAGGGAGAGCATTAATCCATTCATGAGGGAACCGCCCCCATGACTCAATCAGTTTCCAACACTGCCACATTGGAGATCAGATTTCCACATGAGTTTTGGAGGGGACAACACATCCAAACTCCATCACATATAGATTGGAATTACATTGAATATGTGAATGATGGAGGGAGAGTCGGTGGGCTGCGTTTCCTCCCATTCTCAATCATGATACAACTCTCCATTTACTTAGGTCTTGTTTTCTAGCCTTCAATGAATGTTTTGTAATTATCTGCAGAAAGATGTTGTGTTAGGGGTCCCCAAAGCCACCCTGAGATAGTGATTTATGAGAACTCAAAAGACTCAGCATATAGTTGTACTCAGCTAAGATTTACTAGAGCAAAAGGATACAAAAGAATCAGCAAAGGGAAAGGGCTCATGGTGCAAACTTCAGAGGAAACAAGGTGCAAGCTTCCAAGAGTCCTCTCCCAGTGGAGTTACACAGGACACATTGAATTCTCTCAGCAACAAATTGTGACAACTTATAAGTGTTGTTTACTAGGGAGGCTCACTAGAGACTGTGTATCTAAGGTTACTATTGCAGGCTAGGCATATAGACACCCTCTGCTTATCACATACCAATGTTCCAGACTCCAGGAAGTAAGTAGGTGTTCAGCAGAAACCATTGTTTGTACAAACAGTTTAGGTGCAGCAAGCCACTCTTATCATTTAGGGAAACTTTTACATCAATGTAGGGAAACTGCCAAGTTCCCAGATGTAGGCCTTTCTGAGTATAGCAGTTTCAGGCCTGCTGTGTTAAATATTCTTGCACAGATGAATGGAATCCTTATTTTTTTCCCCTCATATTTTCTGTTTATTTCTGGTGAATAGGAATGCTTTACTTTTTAAAAGTTGATTTGATACTAACAACTCTTTAAACTTTAAGACCTTGTCCATAGATTCTCTTGGACATTCTAAGTAAGTAAAATAATTATCATCTGTAAATTTAGGAAGTTTAATCTCTTTATCATAATTATTTTACCACTTTTCAAAAAACATATCATATTGCTTAGGACTTCCAATACAATATTGAACAGAAGCATCTCTGTTCTCTTTAAATTCCTTGAAAATGCTAGGTATGATATTTTAAGATTACTTTTTAAAAAAAGAATGGAAGATATTATTAGTAGCTATATCTAGGTAATAGTGTATGAATAATTTTTATTTTCTTCTTTTTACTTTCAGTATTTTCCAGATTTTCTGTAATGAGTATGCATTACTTTTAAATGAAAAAAAAAAATTATTGCCTAGGAAAAATGATTCCCTTTTGAAATAAAATTTTGATAATTGTATAAATAGAAAGCTTTGATTAACCAATAAGTATACTTTATCAGCATCTCTCTGTCTTTTCTTGTTGTGACCCTAAATTGAATATGGAGAAAAAAGAAGCTTAGAAAGGAAGTAAAATAGAATCTATTTTTGAAACCAGTAAAATTCACGCTAGTTCCAGTGGTGACTGTCCCGATGCAACTGGAGCTCTTTTACCTTTAGGCTTTGATGTCTGTACATTGCATTGCTTTTGTCCTTCACTTCTTAGGCAGGAAGTGCTAGCAGAAAGAGCTAGAGATGAATGTTTAACGTGTGGTTGCTGATTGGAAGAATTCCTTCCAAGCCTCTGTTATAGTCACTGTTACTATGGCTGGAACAGGGTGTGGCTCTGGAGCATATTCTTTTAACACCTACCTCTTCCTTTCCCTGCTCTGAGTTGAGATTGCACTTGAAGGAAGAAACAAGTGGAGAGGAAAGCATCCTAGGTATAGGGACAATGTGTCATCCATAGATAAGGTAATCAAGGACTAAGCACAGGCTTTATGAGTTGGATGCAGTATTTCTCCTTTGGATTTGCATAGTCAATTCTCTTATGCCAAAGTTTCT